ACAGAGACGAATGGAAACAGAACACAAGAGACAGGCAAGTGCCTTTGCACTAGTGCATGGATGTATCCTGTCATGGAAATTTACAGAGAAGAGTGATATATTCAAGAACCATGAGGTGGTAATTTGAGAGATGAAAGACATATCTTGTATCTCTACATTATCCCATTAATTTCTGTTCCCCTTTATTTCAGTAGCCCAGGAATGTTTCTACATTCATGCATGTGTATTCATGCATGTTCACATGTATGTAGGCACACCTATTTGTATATGGTCAATTCTGGTCATTGTCAAAATTTAAGGATTATGTGTGTAGCAGAACCAGAAACAATTCTCAAAGTACAGATTATGTGAGAACAAGATGGTGGTGCTATGTTTCAGATTCTAATAATGCCGCATAAAGACTGTTAGAAATCTTATGATGCCCTCACTCGGTTCAGTCTTTTGGTGTCATCTACATCATAATTTTCAGGGCAGCTGGTGATGCGGTACAGTCAGGCCTGGAGTCAGGAAGACCTGAGTTTAAATCCTGCTTCAGACACTTCCTATCTGTGTGACCCCAGGCAAGTCACTTCACCCCATTTGCCTTGGTTTCCTCATCTGTAAAATGAACTGGAGAAGGAAATGGTAAACCACTCCACTATTGCCAAGGAAACCTCAAATGGGGTCACAGAGAACTGGACATGACTGAAACAAGTGAACAACAACATGTCTTGTTTTAGAAATCCTCCGCTCGGGGTTTTGAGAGATAGTTAATGACAGCTCTGCATTATAAAATTAATGTAGGACTATCGCTACTGTAGATGTCAAAACAACCTGTATCCAACAATTTAAAAATATTGTTAAGAATATTTTCTTTCAAAAAGTTGTCTGGGAATGATGAGAATTATTATTTTTATCTCTTGCCTTAGAAGAAGCAGTGGTTTTTTTTATACTTAACACCATATCTAAGTTTAGCAACCATAATCCATTCTAAATTTCAGTTTAAATGCAAAGTGGTCCTTTGATTGATTTCAATTCTGAGTACTAGCTTCTTCAGTCATTCTGGAATATTAAAGTGCCACAGTTTTATTGTAATGATTTACTGATATGAAGATAATTATGCCCTGAAATGAAAGTCTGGTCATTTTCTATTATCTTTTGTCATTTAAAAAAATAGGTAGGTCACAAAAACGTTTCTAAGATCAAAGATCCCCTTGACATTTATTCTTGGAATACAGTTTAAAAGAAAAGTTGTATTGCCTCAAATTATAAAACAGCAGAAAGTTCTAAAGCTTGAAGACTCAGCAAGGTGAGAACATGGAACATCATTTTAATTGGTTATTAACAGTGGACAAAAGAATGATAGATTTAGAACTGTTTAACTTTTTCATTTTCAAGATGAACAAATTGGGGGCCAGAAAATTAGTTATCCTGTTTAAGGTCACACAGCCAATAAATAGCACAGCTGAGATCTGAACTCAAGGCCCGTGTCTCCAAGTGTAGCACTTGTCACAAAACTCTGTGAGTCAGGTAATTTTATTTTATCCTTTTCAGTTACTGGCCCAGATGCTATTTCCCTCTGTATCTCTGAGCAGTAGGGCGGTTTGTTAGTTTTAAACTCAAAGATCACAGATAACAAAAATGTGTAACTGAGATCAGAGCTCAAAATTATATCTACCTATAAACACAGTAAGTTATTACATTCAATACATATTTAATCTCTTTTAAAATATTTTAAATACTTTCTAGTCATCAAAGGGAAATAAAATATCTTATAAACAACAGAAAATATTTCCAAACTATCTCATTTTAATTTCCTGGAGTTTGAGAACATATGGTACTTAATCTTGATACCTGAATGTCAAAGCATCAGGACAGGTTCTCAAAAGCCAGGAAACTAAACTGAAAAAGAAAGTTAATTTATGACTGATTACACACTACTCCAGGTCAGTCCACTGACTAAATATGATATTAACAAAACACACTGTGTTATAGTTTACAAAGAATTAACTTTTATTTTGGTTATTTTCCCTGGTTAGATAAGGTTTCAGTAACATTTTACATAAAAATAGGATAGTTAAAAATTTAATATTAACTCTAAAAGGAGAACTCTAACTGGTCAATTTGCTCATTATCTTAGCAAAGGCAACAGTAAGCAACAGTTTCTTACCAGTCATTAAGATGTACGGAACACTAAATATAGCATTTGTACACAAACTATCACAAAACACTAGCTCTTAAAAACTTCTTTAGAAACTTCTGATGGAGAATTGGTAAGTAATTATGTAACCTCTGCCCTTTCTTGCCCAGTTAAGACAGAGACTCTACAAACTGTTTTGTAACCAAAATATTTAATCATGCAATGTTGCATGAGAGAGCTGTATCAATGCCTTATCCCCAACTAGGCAGTGAGCTCTTTGAAGGTTGGTGTCTTGCATATTCCTAGGAAGCCTACCAAAGCAGTCTGCACATAGCAGGCACTTCATAAACATTTGGTGTTTGCTCACAGAGTACATGATAAATGGTGGTTTTTAGAGATCCTGGTGACGGGTACCTCCTGGTTCTCAAGGGAGCCTTTCTCAAGATTTTAGTACTTGGCTCACAGTTGGGGTCTATTCCAATTACCTTTCTACTTGGGGATTTCAGTTTACATGCTGATGTCCTGTCAAATGCTAGTTCACTAACCTCTTCAACTCCTGTGATGTATACTCTTCACAACATCTCAACACACAGAACCTTCTATGACACACAAAGTTTACTTCTACAATTTATAACTGAAATACCTTTATCTGACCAGAATTCCCTATGTTTTCTTTCTGTTTCCAAACTTAAACCCATTGTCTTTTGTACCTGAATCCTCCAGTTCCTCCAGCACTCCCTGCTTTCCCAGCCTGTCCACCTTTGTTCTGGCCTGACTTTTCTCCCTTCTAAATCTTGCCTACAACTAACCAGTTCAACTTGATATACTGTTTTCTACTCTTGAATCCTTTGTAACCGTGCTACTGTTGCTCATTTTTTTTCTAACCCTCCCACCCCCACTCGCACCCCAGCTACTCCCATCATCTACCTTTCAGCTCCTACTCACACATAAGTGGAAGTCAGGAAATCATGTTGCCTACTGCTAGGTGGTGCAATGGATGGAGTGCTGGGCCTGGAGTCAGGAAGGCTTGAGTTTAAATTTGGCCTCAGACACTTACTAGCTGTGTAATTATGGGAAAGTCACTTCACTTCTATCAGTCTCAGTTCCCCAACTGTAAAATGGGGACAATAACATCACTTACCTCATAGAGTTATTGTAAGGATCAAAAGAGACTTAAAAAATAAAAAGGGCTCAGCACAGTGCCTGGCACACAGCAGATGTTTAATGGTGACTGATCTTATTGGTTCTATCTCTGTAACATTCTCACATTTATCCCCATCTCTTTCCATAATGCAATTACTCTATTTTAGGCCCCCATCAATCCTTGCCATCAGTCTCCCTGCATCATAGCCTCTCCTCTCTTAAACTAACCCTTCACACAGTCGCTGAATTGATATTTCTACAGCAAAGGTTTGACTATTTCATCTGGCTTGCTCAAGAAGCTCTGGCAGCTTGCTCCCTACTGCCTCTAGGATAAGCCAGAACTTCCTTTAGGATTTAAAGCTCTTCACAATCTTGTTCCAAACTCCCTCCTCAATAATCACATGTCGCTTTTCCTCATAAACTTAAGACACTGAAGCCGAACTGGCTTATTTGCTGTTCCATATCCATGGTATTCTACTTTACATTCCTATATGTCTGCAGAGGTTGTCCTGCATGCACTGGAATAATTGCCCTCATTATCTGCCTCTTGAAATTCCTGTATCTCTTTGGGATAAGTTCAAGGACCACCTCATCCTGCTCCCTCTCTCCAGTTGTCAGTGGCCTCCCCACGAAACTTTTTATTTACGCAGTTCACATTTTCTATTTACTTGTGCATGTGTTATCCTGTCCCCACTCCCCATCAGAACAGAAGTTCTTCCAGGGCACACACGGTTTCATTTTTGTTCCTGTACTTCCCCTGCACAGCACAGGACCTGGCAGATAGGAGGGTCTAAAAAAACATTCTTACTGATTTGGAACTACGTCAGACTGGAAGCTGTCAGACTGTGTAAACTCTATGACTCATCTATACCATATGAGGTATATATCTCCAAAGAGTTCAAAGAAAGAGGAAAAGGATGCACATACTTAACATTTATAGCAGCTCTTTTTGTGGTAGCAAAGAAATGGAAACTAAGGAACTATGCCCTTGACTGAGGAATGGCGAGTATTACATGAACGTAATGGAATACTATAGTGCATTAAGAAGGGATGGAGAGAATTGTTTCAGAGAAACGTAGAAGACTCGTATGAACTGATGCTCAGTTAAGTGAATAGAATCAGGAGAAAAATTTGTACAATAACAAAAGCACTATAAGGGAAACAATTCTGAAAGACTTAAGAACTCTGATCAATTCAATGACCAACCATGATTCCAGAGCACTCATGATGAAACATGCTCCTACCCCTTGACATCCTAAGGTGACAGACTCAGGGTGCAGACTCAGACATGTATTCTGGTTTTGCTTTTTGTTTGTTTTTAATGGGGGAAGGGAAGCAGGAGAGGGCAGATTTTCGTTTGCTGAAAAAAACACCCGCTTGTTGGATTTAAGACAAATTGTTTTTGTTGTTGATAATGAAATGAGCTGCTAGCCAATACTCTTCACCGTATTTCATCAATACGGTTAACATGTGGTTAATATAGTACATGGTTATACTACCTATAAGAATATACAATAAGTATGTAGTTATAACTAGATAAAAAGTATTTACAGTAGTCCCTTTGTTGTAGCTTAAATCTGCCTAATTTTAAGGACAGAAAGTGGACTTGAGTCTCAGACTTTCAAAATAGACAGAAGCCACCATAAGGTACCAGTGGAGAGAACAGCAGCCATGTTGGTGGGATGCTGACAATAAAACCAATGGTCCCATGTAGACATAGTACTCCCTCACAGCTCACCTCCACACCAAAGGGATGATCGTCCACCTTCCCAGATTCTGCTTCCGACATGGGATTTTTTAAAGTCTGTAAAAAGAGAGCAGCTTTCCTTTTCCGCTCAGCCTGAAGCTGCTTTTCCTTTGACTCCTTGGAGGCCTGGGCCAGCTTTTCTCGGGCAGCAGCTGCAAGCCGATCCTCTAGCTTTTGCTTTGCTTTGGAAACAAACAAAAATATGGGCAATTTGGAACAAGTCATCTTAGAAATGGAATGAAGTTTTCTCATACTTGATTTTTAACAAAAAAGGAAAAAGACACCTATAAAATAATGCACATTTAACAAGTAAATTTTAGTAGAAAATTGTTTCTCTCTACTACAAAAACTGAATGCCAGCAAATTCTATACAATTCATCTAAATGCAAAGACATATAATTTCTTTTTTTAAAATTTATTTTGATTTATCAACAATGACTTCCATATGCTTTTGAGTTTAAAATTTTTCTCCCCCTCTCTCCCCAAGATGGTGCACAATCTGATATGGGCTATACATATACATTCCTATTAAACATATTTTCACATTAGTAATGTTGTAAGTAAGAATTAGAACCAATAGGAGGAACCACCAGAAAGAGGAAACAAAACTCAACAGAACAGAAAAAAAAAATAGCAAATAGTATGCTTCGATCTGCATTCAAATTCCATAGCTCTTTCTTTAGATGTGGATAGTATTTTCCATCATGAGACCTTTGGAGATGTCTTAGATCCTTGTATTGCTGGGAAGGGTTAAGTTTATCAATATTAGTCATCGCACAAAGTGGCTGTTATTGTGTACAATGTTCTCTTGGTTCTGCTCACTTCACTCAGCATCAGAGTATAATTTTTTTTAAAAAAAAATTTTCAAAAATTTATTTATCTTTCTCTTTAAATTTTGAGTTACATATTCTCTCCCACCCTCCCACACCCACTGAGAAGGCAAGCAATACGATATCAATTATACAAAAGCATATTTCCATATTAGCTATATATTTTTTTAAAAAGCAAGAAAAATAAAGCAAGTTAGAAAATTATGCTTCAATTTGCACGCAGAGTTCATCTCTTCTTTCTCTGGAGGTGGATAGTATTTTTCATCATGAGTCCTTTGGAAATGTATTGGCTCACTGTATTGATCAGAGTAGCCAAGTCTTTAAAAGATGACCATCATTATAACGTTGCTGTTACCATGCACAATGATCTCCAGGTTCTTTTCACTTCATGTCGCATCCATTCATATAGGTTTTCCCATGTTTTCCCTTGTCATTTCCCATAGCACAATAGTACTCCATCAAAATCATTTGCCATAACTTACTCAGCAATTCCTTGACTGATAAGCATCCCCTCAATTTCCAATTCTTTGCCACCACAAAAATAGCTGCTATAAATACTTTTGTACCTATAGGTCCTTTTTTCCCTTTGATCTCTTTGGGATATAGAACGAGTAATGATATTGCTGGGTCAATGAGTGTGCACAGTTTTACAGCCCTTTGGGCAGAGTTCAAAATTGTTTTCTAAAATGGTTGGACCAGTTCACTACTCCACCAACAATTCATTAGTTTACCTATTTTTCTCTTATCTCTTCCAACATTTGTCATTTCTGATAGGTGTGAGGTGGTACTTCAGAACTTTTAAAATTTGCCTTTCTCTAATCAACAGTGATTTAAAGTATTTTTTTTATATGACTATACATAGCTTTGATTTCTTATTCTGAAAACTGCATGTTCATATCCTTTGACCATTTATTAACTAGGGAATGGCTCTTATTTTTATACATTTGACTCAGTTCTATATTCGGTATATATTTGAGAAATGACTTTATCAGAGAAACTTACTGTAAAAATTTTTGATTATAACTTCATTGTCTATGGTACCTTTTAGCATAATGTAATTTCCCTGATTACGTTTCTTAATTAGGCCTATCTTTGCTTTTGCTTTGCCTGAGATCATGATTACTACTCCTGCCTTTTTTACTTCAGTAGATGCATATAAGTTCTGCTCGAGCCCTTTGTTTCAATTGTGTGTCTTTCTGTTTCAAGTGTGTCTTTAGAAAAGAACAACATATTGTTGGATTCTGGTTTCTAATCCATCTTATCTGCTTCCATTTGATGGATGAGCTTATCCCATTCAGAGTTATGATTACCGTGTATTTCTCTGCATCCCATTTTCTTCTATTGTCTTCTCTCTCTTTTTAGCCTGTCCCTCCCCAAAAGTTTACTGTGCTTTTAATAATTGCCTCCCTTAATCCACCCTCCCTTTCATCACTCCCTGTTCCTCCCACCCCCTTCCCCTCCTATTTCCATGTTGGGTAAATTACATTTCTATACACAACTGCATGAGTGTGTGTGTGTGTAGTTTAAGGATTGCTCGCTGCTCTCCCCACTTTCCTTTCCGTTGTAAAGCTCTTTGTGTGCCTTTTACGTGAGAAGATTCCCCGTTCTACCACTCCTTTCTCTCAGTACATCCTTTTTTCTCACTCCTTCATTTTTTCTGGAGATCATTCCAACATAATTGACTCACACCCATGCCCTCTGTCTATATAAACTCCTTTTAACTGCTCTAATAATGATAAAGTTCTCAGGAGTTACATGTATCATCTTCCCATATAGGAATGTAAACAATTAAACTTCATTAAATCCCTTATAATTACTCTCCTGAGTTTTCTGTTTGAATGTCAAATTTTCTATTTAGCTCCGGTCTTTTCATCAGGAATGTTTGAAAATCCTCTATTTCATTAAGTGTCTCTCCTCTCGCTTCCCCCCTACCCGGATTATGTTCAGTTTTGCTGGGTAGGTGATTCTTGGTTGTAATCCTAGTTCCTTTCCCTTCTGGAATATGATATTCCAAGCCTTTTGCTCCTTTAACAAGGAAGCAGCCAAATCTTTTATAATCCTGACTATGACTTCACAATAACTGAATTATTTCTTTCTGGCTGCCTGAAGTATTTTTTCTTTAACCTGGGAGCTCTGGAGTTTGGCTATAATTAATTCTTGGGAGTTTTCATTTTGGGATATCTTTTAGGAGGTGAGAGGTAGATTCTTTCAATGTCTATTTTGCCCCCTAGATCTAAGGTATTGGGGCAGTTTTCCTTGATAATTTTTTAAATATGATGTCTGGGCTCTTTCTTTCAGGAAGTCCAATAATAAATGATCTCTCCTTGATCTATTTTCCAGTTCAGTTGTTTTTCTGATGAGATATTATACATTTTCCTTTATTAGTTAATTCTTTTGACTTTGTTTTTATTGTTTCTTGATGCCTTGTAGAATCATTAGCTTCCACCTGCCCACTTCTCATTTTTAAGGAATTATTTTCTTCAGTGAGATTTTTGTACCTCTATTTCCATCTGGCCAATTCTCTTTTTTAATTCTCTTTCTTAACAAGTTATTTTATTTTATTTTTTTTTTGGTGAGGCAATCGGGATTAAGTGACTTGCCCAAGGTCACACAGCTAGTACGTGTCAAGTGTTT